CTTACATTTTACTTATTACATACAATTTATAATATATTACACTTTAACTTTTTGATGCATACGTATCTTAACTTTGCAAACTTCGTCGGTATGCTTTCACTGCCTATACGTCATCACGCTTCAATTGGCTTTCGTTGTTCATTTTTAATGGACGTAGGATTCTTATGTCAAATACCAATTGTCGTATAACCATAAAATTAAAGTCACTATAAGAAATTCTACTCACTTTGTACATAATATGCGAGTGTAGTATTACATTATTTTTCACATTTAAACCACATTGCTTGATACTTAAAAATTTTCATGGAAACTTATATATATATATATATATATATATATATATATATATATATATATATACACAGAGTGTACCATTTTAAATTACGCACCTGAATATCTCGTCAGGGGAGCCACCAATCCGAAAATAACCCCTACAAAAGTTGTTAGGTTCGGAGGGGGACATCGGATGGTGATTTTCAATTTCACCTTGACCTTGACTTTCAAGGTCATTTGAAGGTCAAATCGAATTTTTAAATAGAAACCCCTATTTTTGACCTCGGATTCAGAAAGAGCGCAACATTTTACGTTTAAATGGGTACTTGAGGCTCTTCTTTGAAACAACCTTCAGAGGTTATGTCAAAAACAAAATATTTGAAATTACGCACCTGAATAAATATCTTGTTGGGGAGCCACCAATCCAAATAACCCTTACAAAAGTTGGGTTCGGAGGGGGACATCGGACCAGAGCCTGCGTTCAGTCATCGACATAATACATACATCGATGTTCATGCTCTGGTGTGAACAATTTTATTTTATACGAATGACTACTAATTTAAATATTTTAAAAAACAAACCATGATCAATTTTGGTTTTCAGGTCATGCTAAACTTGTAAGCGATTCGACCTTGAAATGACCTTTAAAGGTCATTTCGACTTTTAACATAACTCTAAAGTTTCTATTTAAAAAATTCGAACAATATATATATTTATATATTGTTGCATGCGCAACATTCACGGCGTTCAGGATGCATGCGAGTCCTGAGCCGGAGTACGGTTGTCATGGAGCGGTTGACAAACAACAGCTGAGAGAGAGTTGTCTGGCTAGCGCGCGAGCCAGACGTGTGACTCTGTCGAGAATCTAGTTTTCACATTAAAGTTCTTTTCTTTTCTATAACGAGTTGTTTATTTTCTCCGCGTCCGCGAGTGCGTTCTCGACTCGCGAGTGCAACATTTTGGGGGCTCGTCCGGGATTTGAACAACGCGTGTGAATTTTTCTTTTCGTTTCGATAAAGCGAAAAATTTCGCAATGATAAATACGCCGAGGAAAACGCAAGGACGATGGCTCAGGAACTTGAAGCAGTTCATTCTCAGGATGCTACGACGCTGCAAGCTGTATTGCAAGAGCTCCGGGGAATGCGCGAGGAAAGAGAAAAAGATCGGCAGGAGCTTCAAGAGCTGCGAGATCGTTTGTCCGAACGAGGAAATGAAAACTCCCAGCTAAGTTGTGTAGAAAATAGAGAGAGAAATGATTTAGGCTATAAATTACAATCCGGATTGGGAAGGTCCTTATAAAGTTGTTAGGAAATTAAGTGATGTGATTTATTCTATTTAAAAGACGTCAAAACATAAGAAAAAAGTTGTACATGCAGATAGATTAGCTACTTTTAAGGAAAGAATAAAGAATTAGAATAAAGACATCTGGATTGTGGGGTTTATAATGGATAATGTTTTCTTTATGAAAGTTACACTCTTTCTTGTTCGTTTGTTTTGTTAAAGGAAAGTTTATTGAAG